TGGCTACGACCAATGCATCGCTCTACAACGAGCAGACCCTGCTATAACGCTCGATAAGACTACAGCAGGCCAAGCTTCTATCAAATTCGGCAACGGCGAAGCCATTCTATCCCTCGGCTCTATCGCCCTTAAAACACCTCTCGGAAGGATCACATTCCATATCCTCAAGACCCCTACCTTCCTCTCTCTCTCGCTGATATGGATCGCCTAGGCATCTATTTCAACAACCTTACAGACACTATTGTCGGACGAACAACCCTCCCGGTTATCCGCAAATGGGGACATCCTTGGTTCCTCCTACCTAAGACCAACGAGGCCGCTATCGCATTCCTCACGGAGAGCGAGATCCGCACTCTTCATCGTCGATTCGGGCACCCAGCGGTCCCAAGACTTCACAACCTCCTACGGCAAGCTGGCCACAACGATGTGACGATAGATATCCTAGAGAACATCTCGAGATTCTGTCATCACTGTCAAATGCACTCTCAAGCTCCAAGACGCTTCAAATTCACCCTAAAGGATGACCAGGAATTCAACTACGAAATCGTCGCTGATGTGCTCTACCTTGGAACCCCTCAACGCCCCGTCTTGCACGTGGTAGATACAGCAACAGCGTTCCAAGCAGCCAGGTTCCTCCTATCGATGTCAGCAAAGGATACGTGGGAAGCCCTCCGAGCCCTCTGGATAGACACATATCTCGGACCCCCTGATACTATCAAGCACGACGCAGGGACCAATTTTGCCTCCCTAGAGTTCCGTAACGAGGCAAAGCTTATGGGGATAACCTGCAAGCAAGTCCTGTGGAAGCACATTGGTCCGTTGGAAAGGTTGAAAGATATCATGCCCCTCTCCGCCGTGCGTTTGAGATCCTCCACGCAGAAATCGGACCTTCACATCCCCGAATCGATCCTTCAAATGGCTATCAAAGCCATCAACGACACAGCAGGGCCAAATGGCATTGTCCCTACGCTCCTAGTCTTTGGCGCCTACCCTCGAATGGCGTTAGATTCGCCCCTTCTGCTACGACCCTGAAAGGGCTGCCGCAGCCCAGAAAGCGATGAAAATGCTTCGTCAGCTCTCAGCAGAGCGGCAAGTGCAGGGCGCCTTACACACAAAGAACGGACCATCATCAACAGGCGTTATACTATCGCTCCCACTGCAAAGCGAGGTCCGAGTGTGGAGAGAAAAGCTCGGCTGGCAAGGCCCTTTAAGATTAGTGCAATTGATGGCTCCAATGTCACAATTGATACTATCAACGGACCCCAGACCTTCCGTTCCACCCTTGTGCAGCCTTATTTCCGCGACGAGACGACCACCCCCCCCCCGCTGCTGCTGCTGCGGATGATTCTGACATTCCTGTTTCTGATCCTGCGAGCGATTCTGTTCCTGTTTCTGCCCCTGCCCCTGCCCCTGTTCCTGCTCCTAATCCCCCGGCGCCGCGCAAGCGAGGCCGCCCCCCTGGTTCGAAGAACAAGCCAAAGACGACGTTCCTAGTCAAGAAGGAAGAAGATGCCTACCAACTAGCCATCAAGCTACGGGACGAAGGCATTATCACAACGCCAGGCACCCTTTGAGGAATCCGATAGCACGGAGATCGATGATCTATTGGTACGAGGAGTGTTTAGCTTCGAACGCTACAATGAAGCAAAGCACGGGAACCATCATATCTTCCGCTCCCGCATGGTCCGCGAGGTTAAAGGCAAAGAAACCAAACCATACGAGAAGTCAAGGCTCGTGGTCCAAGGGCACAACGACCAAGAGAAAACCACCCTATTGACGCAATCCCCGACAATTCAACGCGTCAGTCAACGGCTTATTTCTGCTATCTCCCCAGACCTCCTTTCTCACGGCATGACCTCTCTTCGTGACATCACACAAGCGTATCCCCAGGCGCAGACCGAACTATTCCGCACCATTCTCACGCATCTTCCCGCCGAATTAGAAGGAAGATACCCGGAAGGAACAATCATTCGCGTTATTAAGCCCCTATACGGAATTGCGGAGGCCGGAGTCCATTGGTTTCGAACCTATCACGGGCATCATGTCGATAACCTCGACATGTCCACATCAACCTACGACCTATGCTTCCTAATTACGAATAAGGGACCTGATAACTTTGGGATTGTGGGAATGCAGACTGACGATACCCTTATGCTTGGCACACAACGTTTTTCCGCGCTAGAGGAAGCGGAACTCGTAAAGGCACAATTTCGGGCAAAGCCGAAGACAACGATGACCCCGGTACTAGCATTGACTTCAACGGTGCAAAGATAACCTCCAAGACACCACTTTCCACAACGCTCTACTGCTTCAACAAAAGGGTCAAGCAGCCAAGATCGAACCCATCGACATCAAGGCATACGATCGAGCCCAACAGTACGTGGAACAGCGTGCCCGTGGCGCGTATGTGGCTTCAATCTGTCAACCAGAGGCCTCATTCGACATCTCTATTGCTGCCCAGGTCCAAACCCCTACGGAAGAGGATTGCACGACCCTCAACAAGCGGCTTCAATGGCAGAAAGACCACCAGCAGCGAGGCCTAACGTATATCCCTATTGACCTCGCCAATGCCAAGCTTATCGTCTTTACCGACGGTTCCTTTGCGAACAATAAGGACCTATCGTCACAGCTAGGCTTCGTCATTGCCCTAGTCAATGAGACCGAGACCGCACGTACCAAAGACCAATTCGGGATCAAGGGCAATGTCCTCCATTGGAGCTCAACGAAGTGTAAGAGGGTCACCCGAAGCGTGCTAGCATCAGAGATCTACGGCATGGTCAACGGATTCGATATTGGGATATCACTAGCAACGACGATACGGAAGATCACAGACCGCCTCAATCTTCCCCCTATCCCCCTAATCGTTTGCACCGACTCTTTTTCCCTCTACGAGTGCCTCGTTAAGCTAGGCACAACGAAGGAGAAGCGATTGATGATAGATATCATGGCCTACGTCAATCCTACGAAAGGCGTGAGATCACAGAAATCCGCTGGATTAACGGCGCAGACAACCCAGCAGATGCTATGACAAAGGCATCGCCTAACCGCGCCCTCGAACGCCTCGTCGATACGAATAGCCTTACGATTAGGATAGAAGGATCAGTCGAACGCCCTCCCGCTAGCTGCCGCTCGAACCGTCACTCTTTTCGCACCCTTGCGGTTGCTGCTACGCTCCCGCACCTGCTGCTACTGCTGCGATTGCAGCGATAAAAGAAGATTTGCCAGTGTGGGAATGTAGCATATAGCTATAGTAGGATTGTAAGGGAGGTGCGCACACACGCACACGTGACCCTTAGCGTCACGTGTATGGACCTCGGGGATCCGTGTATAAAGGGCACGTAGTGTGCCCCCTCATTCCCTTTCCTCCCTTCCTAGCAAGACATCTTGAATACAACCCATTGCGTTACTGCAGTACAGACCTCCCGACAAATACAACTGTTAAGAATTAAGTACCTTAGATTTTAGCGTATTTTCGAAGAAGTACTAACTTCCTAACACTTTTCTTAGTAAATTACTAGGCCCCAGGATTGTCCCGGGGGTTTTTGTGCTGTCCCGGATTTTTGGGCCAACTTAACGGCAGTTAAGTTGGTCAGCCGCCTGCCTTTGACCAACGGGTAGTTTTATGCATGCAAGAAGGCAAGTAAACCGAGCGACGATTAGCGCCCTTTTGTAGCGAAAGCAGGGAGAAAAAGCAAGAAAAGACCAATCACCAAATATGTCGCAATTGTCAGACTCGTATCGTTCAGCAGCAATTTGACCTGCACGTTGAATATCCTGGCACTTCTCTAGATCGGTCGAAAGCGTGTAAAACGCCAAAGGAATCATCTCCGCGATGGAGAAGTTCTGGAACTCGGTATCCCGATGTTCAGCAATGTAACGGCAATTCGTGTCGTAGCGCTGCCGCCGGTGCACTGGGTCTCTAAATACGCCTCTTGCGCCACTTCGGCAGATTGACGAATCGTTGATAGCGCACATTTTGGATGTCGATTCCAATCGTAGAGAATTGAGGCGTTGGAGCTTGAAGACGTAGGGAATGGCAGGTGAGGAGAGTTGTTGGCGTGGAGAATCGCAGGCGAGGAGAATCGCAGACGTGGAGAACTGCAGGTGGGGAGAGTTGTTCGTGTTAAGAATTGCAGGCGTGGAAAATTGCAGGCGAGAATTGCAGCTGGCAACTCAGCCGATTACCATGACCGAACTAATGCAATGAAACCGACAAGCACCAACGTTCATTGGTGAAATCTCCTGAGGGGCTACGTGGCGAGGGTGTGTGTGTACGGGGTATCATGACGCCTAACCTGCTACGTAGTAGAGATACATGGTCCCAGGAAGCCCGCGACGCGCACGTGACCAGTCGCGTCTTTAGATTCCACTTGTTTACCTCTGCCTCGCTTTCACATTTTACTTCCCAAACAATCACCCATGCTCTATCCAACTCAAAATGACCCTTACAGAGCAACAGATCAGCCTCATCTCCAAGAACCCGCTTAATGATACGTTAGACCGTTCCCAGGTCAAGCTAAGCGGTTGCGACGAAACCGACCAAGCATTGCGGGATGAGATCGCCAGTCTTCTGTCAGCTTTGGTGGGTTCTACCGCGGCGTTTAACCTCCTGCTCCAGATGGAAGCGGCGATTTGGCGGTGAAGCTCTTTCTGTACAACGACTCGTTCGAGGAGGTAAGGTGAAGCTCGACCATTTCCGTCCTCTTATTCGCTCTGTTGTCAACAATGCTCCTGATGTCGTCATTTGGGATGCCGTCTTCGGTCTCATCGACACCCTCAGCGCCCTCACTCCCCTCCGTCCAGCATCGTCCCAACCTACAAGGGAACACCTGTCAAGACCAGCTCGAGCAGACTTGCCGATGGCGAAACGCGCGACATTGTCGAAAGGAGCTCTTCTTCGAGATAAAAGACTGCACCTTTCGCAATGTGGGAGGATTCTGCGACAAGTTCTTCGACTCAAGAGCTGGCGCAAAGAACAGAAAGTAATGCTGAAGAGGATGATGGTGGCGCACGACGGAAAGAAATGGACGGACTTCCCGTCCACCTCCGATGAAAAAGCGGTCTGGACATGGCTCCGTGCGCTTGAAGAACGCTTCTTGACTGATGCACCCCACAAGTTATACACCACCCGAACCGCCAACCAGTTCAAGGAACGGAAGGGCCAGATGGATCTCTTCTTTCAGAAGCCAGCCAGGAAAGCCAACAGCACATTTACCTACAAGGACGTTCTCGTTGTTGGAGAGCAAAAGAAATCGGAGGACAAGTTCAAGGCGACTCTCCTCCAGCTCACGCGGTATGTGCGAGGTGTCTTCGCCGACCAGCCGACGCGCCGATTCGTCCACGCGTTCTCCCTCTGCGCTTCCAAGATGGAGCTCTGGGTCTTCGATCGGTCTGGGCCGTTTAGCTCGGGGTCATTCGATATACACGACGAGCCGGACAAGTTCGTGCGAGCTCTTGTTGGATACGCTACGATGAGTGACGAAGCGATGGGCCTAGACACATTCATTGAACGAGAGGGGGGCCATCGCTGTGCCACTCTGGAGGACGCAAGCGGCAACGAAACAAGAGTCAGGCTGGAGGGGCTGATAGTCAGGCAGCGCGCTATCGTGTGTCGCGGGACTACTTGCTACCGCACCCGAAACGGGCATGTTGCTAAGTTCTCCTGGGCATCGGATAAGCGGAAACCTGAGGTGGACCATCTCAAGCTGGCAGGAGAGAAGGGCGTGGAGGGGGTGGCGAGAGTGGTGGCGCACCGTCAAATCACCACCATTGCAGACATGCGGAAGGGACTGGAGTTTCCAAAACCTCACGGGTTCCGGGATGAAGATGTCCACTTCAGAGATCTACCATCGGCCGTAGGAAGCACGGGCACAGCAAGTCACAAGCGCAAATCATCCTCTGACAACACGTCTGAAAACATTTCTGGATCCAAGAGGCGGCGGTCCAACAGACAGAAGTTAAAGCTGGCCAAGGATTTTAACGAGCAGCTGTCGATCGGCAAGACCAAACCAAGCTTGTATACTTCTAGGGGCGAGGATCCGTTTGACAACAGGATCTATTCTTGCCTCGTCGTCTCACCAGCCGGCCGTGTCATCAGCGACTTCAAATCGATCAGGAACTGCTGAGTCGCCCGAGACGCTATCAGGGCACACCAGTCTCTCTACGTCACTGGCAACATTCTCCACCGCGACATCTCGTCAAACAACGTTATCATCGCAGACGCAAAGAAGCCAGGGGACTTCAAAGGAATGCTCATCGACCTTGACCTGGCCAAAGTTAGAGACAGTGGCCCGAGCGGAGCGCGGCACCAGACTGGCACGATGCAGTTTATGGCGGTCGAGGTGCTGCGCAAGGCCGATCACACCTACCGGCATGATCTTGAGTCGTTTTTCTATGTTTTGCTTTGGATGTGTGCGCGATACTCATGGAGCAATGGGTTTGGTGGTGAAGAGAAGCCGCCCGAGGAGAGCGACTTACGCAATTGGGAAATTGGAAGCTTCAGGGACATTGCGAAAGCAAAGGAGGGTGACATGACTATGAATGGTCTCGAAAGGATTATGGGCGAGTTTCCAGAGCGGCTTGATATTGTCAAGCCTCTCTGTTTGAGGATCAGGAAGATTCTCTTTCCCTTGGACGAAGACGAAAGGATGAGCTTTGGAACCCCTGCAGGAGACCCAGACCAACTTTACAGGCCCATTATAGCCGCCTATGATGAGGCCATCGGTAAGTTGGATGAGATGTTCGAGATACGGGCGCTATAGGAGAGTCATTTAAATTGCGAAAAAGCGCGTTTGAGCCTTGTGGCGGGTTGCCGACCCGCTTGCAGCCTGCTTGCAGCGGAAATGAGAAGAGCGCCACAGATCGAAAATAGAGTGAGAATCGACTCAAGCCTTCGACAGCCTTTCCTGGCCAAGTTGCATTGGGAGGTAAGGTCATCTTGGGATATTTGTCGAACAATGTAGGATTTGGCTGGAAATGACGGGCAGCTGGCAATGAAATACAAACACCCGTGACAGGACCTTGCAAGACGAGCAGGCGCAAGCTTGAGGTCGTCCAGGTGTGGACGCCGATGGCCTTGGGAATGATAACCTATCACCCCCTTGCATCGGTTCTCAGAGAGCACCGATAAGGGTGATTTCATTGGTGGATAGCTGATGTGATGCCGCGGACAATTTGAGGGCGATGAGGGTTGACTTGCAGCCGGTTTCCCGACCACTGCTCTATCTACGTCATGCATCTGAGGCGGGATATGGCTGCCGACATCTAGCTTCAGCATTCAACCTCTCGCGGCTAACAGTCTTGCAATTCTGGCCGAAAATGAGCCCAGATGGTGAAACACCATTTACGACAGCTGTGCGAAGTAGACTGACTTTGTGTAACGTTGCCCCTGTTGACGACCGGCGGTGCACCTGCTCTGGAACGACGAGCGCCGCCGCGTCATGCTTGTTGACTTCGACCGCGCCGACCTCCTTCCAGCTCCCAAACACAAGCAGCTATTCCAGTTATCCCGGGATAAGAGGAAGCGGCAGAGAGACGGGTTTGGAGCTCGTAGCAGGAAACGCGGCTTGCTACGAGATCATTTGCAAGTTGTGGAATAGCCTTTCGTATCTTTTCCGTTCCTGCTGCTCGAAGCCCTACTGCTTCCAACAGGCGGGACGTGAAGTTTCAGGCAAACAAGACACTCTAATTTTTCCCTCAATCGGACCGCTTGACCCTAGCGCATACATTGAATGGGGCATGAATCTGACCAGAGCTTTCGCAACCGCCCTGGTGATCATGATTGCAAGCAACCGGGCTGGGACTCCGGTGTTCGTTGGCTCGGCTTCTGTTCACATGCTGCTAAACAGCCTTCACTACAGGCGAGCGATAACTGCGAACGCACGGTTACTGGCCACTACGAGATTCCAGCAACAACGCATGAATGGTTGCTGGCACTGTGGCTGGGCGGTTACCAGCAGCACCTAGCGACCAGGAACAAGAGCCTAAAGGTGACTGGCGCCTGTAGATTGCTGACCTTGGGTAACCAGTAATCCCAGGCGCCCAACGTCACACTGGTTACCATGCCCTTTCGGTAACACCCACCTTTCGGTAGCGCAATTGAAAATTCTCCACCAAAAGTCTACCATTTGAACTACATGAAATATGATCAGAACTTAACATTATAAACACAAAAAATATCATTCCGTAGAGAAATGGACGCTCTTATATGTACCGGCGCTTTTACCATTCGCCCGGATCTGGTGGTGACTGGAAGGGCTTCGGTGCCACCTTGACTTCGATCACTGAAGCTGTCTCCACCTCTGAGACCGCCTCCTCCTCTGTGTCAGAATTCAGCACAACGGCTATCTCTTGGCTTTTAATTTGGGAATGGCTTCCTCAGCCACCAAAGCTTCACTGAGAGTCATGAACCGTCTGTTCGGGTTCGGAATTGCTCTCCTCTTCTTGCCTCTCTGCAGCCGGGCCACTTCTTCCTCTAGCTTCGCGATTCTGTTGCTGTGCTCGGCAAGCGTCTGTTCTGGGCTTCAAAGCCTCTAGCTATCACGGCGTATCGTCTCCGGGTGCCAGGAGTCTTGTTCTTTCCGAAATCGCGAATCTGGCGGCTGTTTCTTGGCGTATCATCAGAACCCAAAATGGCGCGGACTTTGGAGACGTCTCTACAATGTCTGCGTGAATTTCTGGATGCCGCAATGCCTTGGATCGTGAGATCGGCCAATTCCCAGTGACCCTCCAGCCGGACAATATATTCTTTGCCGTCATTCCAACCTCGCGCGCTTTAGCATATGCCCGTATAAAATTGACCTTATGAACAGGCGCAGAATCGGTCAAACAGGTCAATTTCTGAAGTTCTTTCCGGTAAGCTGCCTTGAGGCATTGAATACACCGTTATCTAACGGCTGGAGGCCATGAGAGCAGTGGGCAGGAAGGTAACAGCAATAAACGTTGTTCAAAAAGCATGTGGCCATCCATGCATCCTGGTCCCGGTTAACGGTAATTCCTACAGAGGTGGATAAAGAAATGCACCGTTGCATGACTTCCATGTCCATCTAATATGATCAGTCTAGCATCTGAGGCATCGGCTGGTCGCGTCTGGGGCAAATAGACCCTCTCAAGCCACTCAATAGCGATATGGTTGTCCGTCCATCCGTTGGGCGACGTTATGTAATGCCAGTCGGCTATTTTGCCGAATTCCGTCAAGAACCACTGTTTCTGAAGTTCTTTGCCCTTAAAGATAATGCCAGGGTAAGGACACGGCCGTCCGCGGTGATAGCTTCAATAAATGAGGTCCAGTTGCGGGACTGTGGCCCTTTCAGAAGGGCCTTCCGTTTTGGGTCTGCACTCCCAACCACAAGACTATCCAAACCTGGCAAAAGAGTCTGGTTAGTAAAAGTAATGAAAGACAAGCCAAATACTCACCAAAGCCAGACATAATACCGCCTTCGTCAACATTCACGGTATTTTCTGGTTTAATCCATCCATACTCCTTTTCCCTGATATCGAAGAACCAGTGAACCGCCCGAGGCGTAAAAGCATTAAATCGGTTAGCTTCCTGACGTCTCCCACGCTTGTTCTTGATGTCCGGATGGCGATTGATGAATTTAGAGACCCAGTTGCGCCCCACTGTCCGCTCGTTGTTCAGTTGCTTCATAAGAGCCTCCACACATGCGCGGATCTGACTGTGGGATGGAGCATAGCCGAGAGACTCTTGGCGGAGGATCCAAGAAACCAAGCGAGCTTCCTGAGACTTACTCAAGAGTTGACGAGGCTGGATCTGATCAGCCAGGGCTACCTGGCCTTTGAGTCTGTCGGAAATAGACTGCTGAGGTATGTCATACTTTTGGGCGGCGCGGTACTGCGACAAGCCGTTTTTTGTGACATCAAGTGGATGTCACAGGTCCGGCTTTGGTGGGCGGTCAGCGGATTACCCCGCAGATTACCGCCGATTACCCGCTTGCCCTTGACATCACCTCTGCCGGGTTGATGTCATCTTCGGAGCGCCATAAAGCGCGAAAGCCGGGACCGACGACGAGAAAACCAGTTCGACTGGATAGCCTGCGTTTGTGCGATCAGAATGCACCCTGTCTAAGGTCCTACATCCTGTCGGTTGCGAGGTTGCGGTGATTTGAAGCATTTTCAGCCTTGACGCACTGGAGCTACAGCGGCGCTTAGCGGATGCATACCCTGTCTACAGGCCACTACCGCTGACTGTAGCGACGCAGCCCTGACGGCCTGGGGCACTTTCGCCGCCAAGGTCCTCGTCATTCTATCAGACGGGTGTTCAAAATCACTGCGCCATCGACTTTTCGCTACCACCGACGTTGAATTGCCCCGACGCACGTTTGTGTCCCTTTTTCGCCTTGCCTGTCCTTTCGGATGGCCTTGAACAACTTATCCAAAGAGCTGGGTCCACGTTCTTCGTCCATTTGCCTCGCCACGATATCTTCAGTTAAGCCGTCCGACTGGGCCCGCCTCCGAACCTCATCGACGATGATCTTGCGCGTGGAAAGGTAATTCTTCTCTGCAGATGGCCGCCATCGAGCACCCCAGTCTCGCTCAAGAGAATCCACAGAAGGCATTTCGCCCCAGCCCTGCCGCCAGAGACGCAGCAGCTCCTGTACAGATTTGACAGAACGGGGAGCTTGAAGCTCGGAGGTTCGCGCGGCCCAGGCGGCTCGCCATGCGCTCTTCCCTGGGGGCTTGCCCTGGCCCGCTTGCACCATTCCTGCTGCTGCTCTAGAGAGCGGAGCGTATGTCGGACCGCCCGCTTGCGAAGGGCCTATCTCGGACCTGAGGACCGTCTCTCGTGGAGCGCGGCGCCTCTGTTGATGAGCTCCCGCGATCTCCGCATGTTGACCTGCAGCACCTTGGCCGGGGCTGAAGGTGACGGTGTAGGTGGCCTGCGCAAACTCATCCAACTTTGTGCATAGTTCGTAAGAAGCCCCAAAGGTCTAGATGTCTTCGCTCAGCTAACTGCTCGGCTGCGACCTGTTGAGTCAGTACTGTGCGCAGCTTCTCCGCAACCACCGGGATCGCTTTTGAATGACCGTGGTATGGCTGTCTTCGTGGTCCCGTGTGCATGTGTCTTGAACTTTGCTGGCGAACGCTTCAAACTCAGGGCAAGAGAAGACCGGATCCTGAAAGATAGGATGGTCGGGGTAGGACTCGCGAAGGAAGACAGCGTCCTGCAGGAGCACCTCTCGAAGCCACTCCAGGAGTTCCAAGAAGGCGCCGGCGGCCATGTTCTGCTCCACCCGAGATCTGAGAAAGGGCTACTGTGGGCCTCTTTCCATTTGTCGAGTTGAGGCCAGACCTGCACGAGTAGCACCACAGGCGGCCTCACGGTGGCCCGGGGCACGAAATAAGACCCCGACCATTCAGGGTCAAAGTCGGCCACGGCCCTCATGAATTCGAAAGGCAGGAAGTCAGATAGCAGCCGGTCATTTGGTCTCCGTTATTCCAACGACCGGCTCGGCGGATCTGTATAGTTCGGGTCAGCCCAGGCCAGGGGGTTGGCGGCTTGCCTAGGGCAGATGACATGCCTGGCCTTCATCCACTCCGGCCATGTCGGCGTTTTGCGTCGCGGCCACTCTAGGCGCGTGGCTGACCTTGGAGACCTTGATGCCGGCCTTCTTGTAGAACCTGGACGTCCATTCTCGGGCAGTCTGGCCCGACAACGGAGCTGTATATTCGGTGAGTGAAAGGGTCGATGCACCCTCTGAGTTATGGGATTCCGGTGAATGCCATCACGCTTACCTTGAGGCTCCTTCGCCGATCGGCGGAGCACCTTCGTTTCATACCAGTCGCTTCTTTGGAAGACGGAAACCTTTCCGCCTTTTCTACCTGCCAGCGCCAGAAAAGCCAGAACGCGAGGGCGCCGATGAGACAAGATCGCGGATCTCGATGCCGCAAAGCAGATCCATACTCCATGCGGCCGTGCTGGTTGGTCTTCCCACAGTTCATCACGACAACCAGCGCCTTCGTGGTATACCCTGGGCCTTGAAGCCCTCGTTGGGTAAGTCCAGGGAAAGCAGTCTGCCAACTCCATCGGCAGGCGGTTGCCGGACCGCAGCAGCATGTGGTTCCCGAGCAGAAAGTCCACCTGCGTCCTCAGGGCGCAGGCGATCTCTCCTCTCGGACCATGCCACGTTGGTGTGGTCGGGTATCTGCGCCGGCGCATACACATCTCTCAGAGTTCCAACTCCCTGTCCATGTATTCCTTCCTCTTCCGGCTCCAAGTCGTTGCAAGAATGCTGCGTTTGAGCGCCTTCAGTGCCACTCCTGTGGCCGGGCCGCAGGATTGACTCCCGGCTCTTCTGCTCGTCGTAAAGCTTCTGTATGGCCGAGACGTAGCCCCGTACAGTATTATACTGTAGTTTGAGCGTGGACTCATACAACTCCAAGTCGGAGTCTGACTCGTATTCGCTACCTCCGCCGCCTACAACGAGGGGATCTGCTGGGGAAGCTGGGTGTTAGTATGATGGGCTGGCTCAGTCCGACGACCACATCCCGTGATCAACATCTGTTACCTGATGGTGCTCTGCGTCGTTCACGGCCCTCTTGGCTTCCTGAGCCTCGAGGTGTCGTTTTCTTTCATCGGCGACCCTCTTTCCTTTCTTTGGAGGACGTGATGCCACTACCTCCTTCATGAAGAGCAAGAGCTTTCCTTCATCGACCAGGTCTCCCGGTAGCTGTTGGCCCTGTGGTACCGAGGCCGGCCAAACGTCCGGGATCGCAGGCCAGTTGGCTTGACACCACTCCTGTGAGGCAGTCAATGCATGGATCTACATGAAGATTGCAGGGCGCGCATGCGGGCTTGCCTTCCATTCTTCCTGCTTGGGACGATAATTTCGCTTCGTATTCTTCGGCTGGGTGTTCTCCAGATCTAACAGGTAGTGCTCAATGGCCGCCCTGACCCGGGGATCCTCTATCGCGTTCGACATGGTGCAGGCGGTCGCCGTCGCGACGGTGGCAATGGAGGAGGTGGTGGAGGAGGTGGGAGGAGGAGGTGGAGCGCAACGCGCGTGAGCGAGACCGAAATCGAAGGTCTCGCGCAGGGCCCCGCGGGCGTGGACCTTCGATTTTGCCGTCCGATGGCGGTAATCCGACTAAGAAAACGCCAGCCCCGCAGGTCGGGCCTTCGAAAACGACATGGTTTTGCGTGGGGCGGGGCGGTAATCCGATTACCGGATGACCGGTCAGCCGGCCCGGACCTGTGACACCAATTATCGCATTAGGCATAATATCCTCCGTATAAATACCCGAGGCCGCTTTAAGGTAATTTTGGTCATGTGGTGGAGGAATAACGAGAAGAATCATCGTCAGGAGGCGGAAGGAGATTAGGGGTTGGATGCAGGCTTTCTAACCATACGCCATACGTCATATGGACCTGTATGGTTTATGGTGTATGATTTATTTTCATATGGTGAACTAAACCATATATTGCCCATACAAGAAATGACGTCATTGGGTCATACTTCCCGTGCCCAAGGGGGTGTTATTACTGCACTCTTCGGCCGACTCGGACCCGTATTGCTCAACCTCCTCTATTCGTAACCCTGCCGTGATGCCGCTGCGGATCCAGCTTTTCAGGCACTCTCCTCTCTCGACTGTCGATGCTCCGAGAAGCATTCGATCCCAAGAGATAGTGCGCCTTGCGCCTGAGAATGTGCGCTCTGGGTCCGCAGACATGGCGGGTATTGAGAGTATGTCTATCGCCATCTTGGACAACCGAGGGAAACGTTCACGGTGTTCATCACGATGCCACCAGGAAAGTGGTGAACCGTCAATCTGAATAGGCGACTGCGATGTGAAGGCTTCGTACTCGTCTGCGTCTGGTCCCTTGCCTATGACATCGAGTTCCTGTGCGAGTAAGTCGTACTCGTCCTGTTGCAGTACTGAAACCTTGGAAGGCGTGACAGAAATTGTCGGCAGATCCATGTACTCTTCTTCCCAGAGCTTTCTCACTGCGTCGAAGGTTCTTTTATGCCATGACTTGGGCCAGTTTTTCTCAATATGAGCCTTTCCTCGAGACGGATGAAGAATCAGGGCTGCACCGTATGCCGGGGTCTCGTCAGAAAGCCGATAATATTTGTCGAAAACGTGCCAGCTGGTCAGCACCGGGCCGAGAAGTTGTTGATTGAGCTTGTATTTCTCAGCTTGCTGGTAGTGTTTATGAAGGACATCCATCGTGAAGAGCGTGCGGTCTAGTGTTGAGCGATAGCCCTCAGTAAGGAGTGTTATTCTCCAGAATGGCTGCAAGAAGTTTCTTATATCTCGAAGGGCTTGCCAGTCTCGAGGTGCCAGATAGTCATTGACAAGTGTCTCGTAGTATTTGTCTTGATACCACTTGACGTGTTCCTCCTTTTCAAGAGCAGTATCCAGTAGGAGGAACCAAGAGTTCCAGCGTGTGTCGTTGTCGAGCCCGAGAACCTTCCCTGCGCGCTGACGGAAAGTGTTGTACCTGTAATCGTTGGCTCTGATATGAACCGCAATATTATGCACCTTGCCGAGCGGACCAAGTTGGCTCCAGCCACGTTCCTTCCGCTTCTTCCACCCTTGCATCATGTCCAAGTCGCACGGCTTCATCCATCTCCTCAATCTGTCTACATGCCTCGAGTACGGCCTCTTTGTTGTCCATGAAAGAAAAGCCTGGACGCAAAGATTGACCACATGGCCATGGCAGCGGATCCGTCGATGCTTTGCATTCCATGCGATGCCTTGACTCTCTAGAAAGCTGCTCATCAGGCGGCAAAGCACATCATTGGAACCGTGGTTGTCTCCTGTGAAGTACCTAGCAGACTTGATATGCCGTAGTCCTCAATGACTGGTTGAAGCAGCTTCCATTGTTCACCTCCACCGTGACTACCGGGACCATCGATGCCAGGAAGCTCAGGTAAAGCCAGCAATGCTTGAGAAGGGTTTCTTTGGTCGTCCTGCATGAACTGGACACATATTCCGAGAAACCTTTGTGATTCGGCGCGCTCCATACGTCGGCAGAGAGGTGAAGCTTGGAGGGCGAAGATTGAAGCCGTTTTCGTAAGATATCTTTATGGATTGCATAGGAGTTCATGCAAAGCTTTTGAATGTGGCCATGTGAGGTGCTGATCAGCCCTTCCGCAGTGGAATTCGCTGCCATGAGCAAAGCATGCAACTCAGGCCAGGTATTGCAGTTATATGGGAGGTTTCGCACGGTGACAAGCTGAACCAAAGCTTCCATTGCGGCCTTCGGATTGATTGCCTTTCGCAAAACCTGCTCTTCTCTTTCCTGAAACTTGACAAGATCAACCTCTCCGGCTTTGTTGAAAGCGTCTTTCAGAAGGTTATGACATGTTTTCTTGGCCAGGGTTGACTCAAGACCAGCGACGTCTATCGTGTGTATCTTCAGCAGATGGTTGCGAAATGTGGTAGAGACGTAAGTCGAATAGGACGGGTTATTGCAATACTTGCAGTAGAACACCAAATCCCGTTTTGGCCCACAACGCTCAGGCTCGGATCCTGAGGTTTCCGTGTGTGTTGCCAAGTGGCATCCGCTGTGGTCATTCTTTTGCGCTTGGAAGTTGTCGCGGTACTAGGTTCGAACGATGCTAAGCCTTGTGCGTCTTGGATCCCAGAGGCCTCTATGGCTGTGGCGGATACGAAACTGTCATCGTCAGCTGGCCCGCGGAAGATGGGTGGACTCGTCATCAGAGTCGCAAACGGCACAAAGCCGGATGAATAATGGCATGAAACCCTGAGTGACGAAGAATGTTAGGTGCTAACTGGATATCTCAAGGTCTTTAGTAGCTCCAATTTATTCCGATCTGCCTATACGGGATTCTGGGAGGTGACGTCCAATGTGACGTCGGTTACCCTAGAACCGCTTGAGCGATACTGATCTGAGATTTTGTTCTTCTTCGGCGAGATTAGAGGCATGATCTGTAATGTCGCGCGATCTTTACTCATTTCTACCGTAACGATGAATACACACAGAGCAGTTAGTCATTTCGGTCTTTTTCATTGTGGAATCTTCCCCGAACGTCAATAGAACAACAGAGTATGTTGCTGTAGTTCCGATATATTTCTCGGAGATGTTGGCATGCAACCATCAATCGCCGAATGATCTTTTCTTCGCCGAAATTGTAACCTCGGAGGAACTTTCCCCCGCGTATGGCCATATATGGTCATACGACTGATCTCGTATGGTATAGGTTTACTGGCAATATATGGGCAATATATGGTTTATATAAACCATACGCGTATGATTAGAAAGCCTGGTTGGATGGTAATTTCGCGTGCAAGGTACGCACAGGCCACAGACCTTGTACAAACATTCAACCATCGAAAAGTAGAATTCAATCAATCCTCTATCTACTCCAAGTGACGGCTTGTGAATATCTTCAAATCTGGCTGGAATCGGTGTAAGTGAAATTGATGGTTTTGGTGGGGATATTTTCTAATGCGCTACCGAAAGGTGGGTGTTACCGAAAGGGGTGGGGCATGGTACTGGTGACCGAACTCTGCTCCACAATGGTTACTGGCACCTCTCTCATGGGTGTTACTAGCAGCGTATGGCTAAGCGCCCGGAGGTTACCGGTCCCTTTGAGGTACCGACAACCGACGCCCATAGGTTACTGGCAGCCCCTGGTTGACAGGAACTCGCAACCGAGCGATTACTGGCAACGGCGTGGTCGTTACCGGCGCCTTGCGAGCCGGCACTTAGCGGTTAGTGGCAACTGCCAGGTGGATAACCTTGCGCGTGAATGCGAAGCCGAAGCCAACGTGCGGAGACTCTGCTCGGCTAGGTGCTCTTGCTGCCTGTCTTACAAGGTACTAGCATCGACGCTTATTTTAGACATGCGGGGTGTCAGACATTTTGGCTCCACATGGGTCAGAGATGGCATCAGGCAATTGAATGAGAATTATCTGAAGAACAAGAAGTGAACGAACGAACGCACGGGGTTGTGCAGCTCTTTATACACAAATGAAAGGTCCGTCGCGTGATTACGCAGTATCGGTTGCCTAGCAGGCAACAGCGGCGTTGCGAGTAACATCGCCACTTGTCACGGGCTGTGCCCGGCTTGGTGGACCCGGTTGTACCGGGTCCGGTGGATCATGCTCGGATGGAAACACCGGCCCCGCTTCGCGGGCCCCGGAGTTGCGAGAACATTCTATAAGAGGCGATATAAGCTCGGACTCGAGGCTTCGCCTCGAGTTCAGCTTCCTTTCCTCTTTAGCTCTAGATAGACAACACATAGGCACCTGCTTGTTGAGTAAACTCCGGGCCAGCCTCTTACATATCTAGAGCTCACTACCGATGGACTCAACCCTTGCAGACGGGAGCTCCCCGGAGCGAACCTCCCAGCTCGTCATGCAGATGATGAGCCAGATGGCTGAACAGATGCAAGGTTTGCGTGCCGACCGCGATGCCGATCGCGACGCCACGCGCGAGCAGATTCAACTGCTGCAAGACAGTCTGACGACCTCGAGACCAACGCTCTTGGGGACCGAGTCGGAGAGCAGAGCGGAACCTCTGCATGAACTGAATCGTTTGGTCGACACACCATTGCGGAAGACTAGGCCGACTCTCCCAGACCCACCGCGATTCGAGGGCGTTCGATCAAGTTTCGCGCTTGGCTGAGCGAGATGAAGAACAAGCTTCGTGTAGACGGAAGGGTAATTGGGAATAAGGCGGACCAGTTCGCCTACATTTACGCGCGACTAGGGGGTGCCCCTCAGCAAATGACGATCGCGTATGTAGAAGCCGGAGGAAGGGGTGGAGACTCAGATCCGGACCAGTACCTCCAATATTTGGAAGAGTGCTACGGGGACCCGAACGCCAGGACTCGCGCGCTGGACAAATTGCGATCCTTGAGGCAAAGAGACAAGGAAAGCTTTGCGACACTGCTCCCTCGCTTCGAGAAAGAACTCGCTGATTCCGGCGGCGCCACCTGGCGGAAGAAGTCAAAATCAGCTACCTGGAGGGCGCCCTGAGTCCGGAGTTGCGACTGGCAACTGTCTACGCGGCGCCCACTCGCTCCACGTACTCGGAATGGGTCCAATCTCTTCAAAGGCTGTCCTCAGGTCTAGAATGTGTAGAGAAAAGGAACGCCCTTCGAAGCGGTGGTGCAACCCATGATAGTCGAGGCCGCGACGCAGACGGAGATACCAAGATGGCAGATGTCAGCCGTACAAGTCACGAGCCGAAGAAACGTCGCAACGCAGATGCGGCGCCCAAGAACGAGCGCCGCTGTTACCGATGCGGCCGGAAGGGTCATCTCGTCGCGGAATGCCCAGCTCATTTGGTCTTTCCTGGCGAAGCGAAGAAAAAACGGTCAGGAGCCGCCCGGGTGAAGCAGCCGGATGCTAGCGATGATTCGGAGTCGGCCGCAACATCAATGGGGATGACGAGCCGATGGGAAAAGACTAGCCCGGTGCGAAAGCGGGCGCCGGGGCCTTCGAAGGCAGATGTCCAAGACTGGGAGGCGTTCAAGCCGCGTATGAATAGTCGACCCGTGCTCGTTAACGCACGGCTCAACAGAGGCAATCCGATACGCGTCCTAGTCGATAGTGGATGTGACTGCTATGCCGTGATTGACGAAGCGGTCGTCCGGAAGTTTCGGATCCCTCTCGTTGATTCGAAGCCTCGAGAGATCGGGGGATTCTCGGAGTCCTCAGAAAGTGTCACGTCGCCGGGAGTTGTGGCTGTCGTTGTGGAGACCGCCGGTTTTGACGAACGCACCTTTGCGTACGTCGTCCCAAGCCTCGGCCAGGATATGTTCCTTGGCCGGCCTTGGATGGAGAGGAACCAGGTCGTGTACGACGCTGCTAAGCGGCAAGTGTACCACGGAAGAGCAGGCGTGACGATACGCCTCGTGGGGCAGGAAGAGCCCGCCAAAGTACGCGCAATTCGAAGCGCAAGACTTGTGTCGGCAGCCGTGTTCACGGCAGAGTGCCGGCGTGCAAAGAGACGCCAGACGTGCGACGCGTTCTCGATACAAGCGATCAGCTTGGCAGACATAGAAAAGGCGCTTCAACCGAAGCCGCCAGTTGATCCGAGCAAGATGGTTCCAGCGGAGAACCTCAACATGGAGGCGAGCCTGACGTTCCAGACCCAGCGGCGGTCGACGCTGCGCATCTTCCTCTCGAGCACAAGTGGAAGGACGGCCTGCCGACCGAGGAAGAGGCCATCATGATGCTGAACCAGGGCGACGACAGCGCGATCCCGGTGCCGGCCGTCTTCATGTTCGTGCCGGGGATGCCGGTCGTCGTGAACCGCAACACCCACCAGGGCCTGAAGCTGGTGAACGGCGCCAGCTACACGGCGGCGGAGGTCATCGTCGACAAGGCGCACCCGGGCATCGCATCTCGGCCGGCATGGCGATCCACTTCGGGCCGCCGGCGGCAATCATACTGGGGTCGGAGACGACCAAGGACTTCCACTTCGTCGGAATGCCGCCCGGCACGATCCTGCTGACGCCCATGAGCGTCAGGATCCAGCGTCAGCGGAAGCGACCGTGGCAGCAGAACGACGTCAGCCGCAAGGGCCTGCCGTGCGCCGCCGCCTTCGCGTGCACGGACTACAAGGTGCAGGGGAACGCTGGAGCGCGTGGCGCTCGAGTTGCGGGCACGAGGACGACCAACGTCGGCGGACGCGCCGTCCCGTCGCAGTGCGACCCGTACAGCCTGTACGTGCAGCTATCGCGGTGCCCGACGCTGGACGGCATCATGCTCGTGTCGAAGGTGCGGAGAGGGACCTGGTGGGAAACCGGGTCCCCGGGAGATGACCGCAGCACAGGCGAGGCTGGAGGGCTAAGCGACAGGACCGTCCGGGAGGCGCTGCGCTGGCTCGGCGACGAGGTCGAGGCCGCGGAGGAAGGGGGGAAGCCTTCCGCAGACACAAGATTTTGAGGTCGTCAAGGTCGGGGGCGGGAACGGTCGAACGAGGAGGGCGAGGGAGGCCAAAAGACGGAAGAGGCAAATTGTCGACTAATGGGGCAGGACGCGCCAAGGTGGACCAACCAGAAGCCGGGATACGGGGGGGAGGGGAAAGCCGGCCAATCAGAGGCGGGGATTCCGGGGGGCCAAAAAGGTCGGGAGGCGGCGCGGGGCATAAGTCCTTTCGTTCCTCAAGGCACGAGAGGAAGGCTCGCCAGCCGCGGCTCGCGCAAAGAAGCCTTTCGGAACGAAATTTGGCGACAAGAGAACCGGAGAAGAGTTGGCTACAGAAGAGAGAGAGAGAGTTGGCGACAGTAGATTGGAGACAGGAAGAAGAGTGAGGTCGAGATACGAGACACGGCGAGAGACGTAGAGCATTATCGTGAGTGAAACCGAGACAGAGCGTCGGGGAGGCAGGCTAGGCCGCTGGAGGGAGATTTTGTTTAAAAGGCGCAAACTCAAAGGGCGTGGAGAGACGGCAGGGTTGAAGAGAGATGTGAGTGGGTAATGCATGTCTGGGCGAGTGGAAGGCTCGGAAAATTTACATGTGCTACCGGTATAAGTCGTAGGTATAAACAGAATAAGGAGTATATTGGGAAGTTTTGACTTGATCGTCTTCATGAAAAGGAGAACAAGAAGAGAAGAGAATGTGCTATTCGAGCCTTTGGCAGTTGATTTTGAGGATGATGAGACATGTTGTCATGTTGTATTGTTTCGTTTGATGCTTTAAAGTTTAGAGAATATTCTTGGGCGGACGTCGGGCGCGCAGTGGTCGGGAAGATATCGACGCGGGAGGTCTGATAGAGCCAGAGGCGGATGTGTCTTGGTGATTGACCTGTTCGGTGTCCGTCTCTGACTCTGCAGGGTCTTCCGGGGACAGAAAGGAGGAGGTATCGGATTTGGGAGTCTTGACCGTCACAGTCGGTGATTATGGTGGAAGTTTCGGGAGAAAGTCGCGGTCTCTTGGTTGGGGTTTGGTAGGGATCGGGCAATGACCGACTTGATGCCAGCATAAGGGGATCGACTGGGCCAGAAGCATGCGGCGTGGGGGAGGCGGGGCTTTGGGCGGCCTTGGGTTTCTTCGTAGAGGTAAACCTGGCCAACGCAACGCTATAGTCCGAGGATTGCCGACCGCGCTCTTGGGTGTCGTCGGCAGTAGTTGTGTTGCAGAAGCCTGGTCGGACATGGCCTTGTCGTGGAAAGTCCACGTGTCGGGGACGACGATGAAGATATAGTCTTGGTCGAAAGCCGGGGCATGTTTCATGATCTGGTGATCCAGTAAGCCGGCGATTTTGCCCGTACAGGTGAAGAGTGTTCGACTGGAACTGGCTGTCGCGCCTCTCGGTCATCTTCTTGCATAGGAGGTCCAAGGATTAGCGTGAATGGGAAGATGACGAAAACTTGGAAGGGTGAAAGCCCTTGAAGGGGTTTGCCGGGAATCCCAGGACAAATAAAGGTGGAGAGCTGGACAAAGCCGCAGCAGCTCAGCTGGGTGTCGTCAAGGGCCGCAGCCGAGTTTCCATGCAGGAGGTCGCGGCCGGAGCCGATGACAGGTCCCGTGAAGGAGACAATGGGTTGTATCGTTGGGAAAGTATCCACCGAGCTGAGGTGCGAGTGACAATTCTATGGATATCGTCAGGGAGGGCAGTGGCGACAGAGAGATTTGGAGCATAGACTCACGGTTGGTAGCTGTGATCGCGGACTATAAGCGCGGGGACGGTGTATTCTGTGATGTTATCATCGTCCGACTCCAAGCCATCACGTCGCTCGATTTCCCACGTCAGGGCAAAAGATGAACACGGCCGACCATGAAGAACCATTGTTCGGTCCATTCCGAGGAGATTATCTGTTGGTTGTATATGGAAATATTAAGGCTGAAGAAGATGCAGGTCGATGGATTGCCAGTATCTGACCGGATTGCTGCATACTCCGGAGTCGACAGCCATGAGGGCGTGGGAAGGAAGACCCTCGCTAGGGTTTCTGCGTTGAGCCCTTTGACACGATGCTCATTCTGGTAGGCGAACCTAGCCGGGCAGCCGGGCTGGACAAAGGCCATCATGGACATGTCGGCGCCAGCATTTATAAGAGTCAGAGAATGCTACCTAGGTGATAGATCAGAAGCGGGGGTATGCGGGAATGAGCTGGCGAGGTTCTTGAACAGTCTCGACCATCTGGTTCTATGGTCGTGAGTGAAGTAGGGAGCCGGGGGTTGGAAGTTGAGTAGGGGTGATGACTATGTCGCGAGAAGTTGGAGGTCGGCGAACAGTAAGGTTAGTGTGGGTAAGTCTGCGGAGAAAGAAAGTCCAGCAGTACCCTTCGGTGTCATCGTTGCATGGAGTAGATAGCAAAGGCGACAATAACGAATGAGTGAAGGAAAGAAAGAGGTTATGGTAGTATTGCAGGGTCCCTTTTTGACGGTCGTCGGTAGTTGGATGGGCATTGCGTGCGGCTGAGCGAGGCGGGTGCCGACCGTGTAAGTCCACTATTGGGACACGGTGAAGTCGGATATAGGGACGACCTGAGGAGGAGGATGCAGTTGGTCACGAGAACTCTCCAGGAGGGTTTGCAAGTCGAAACTCCGGTGGCTAGCGACTACAAGAGGACAGGCAGGGGATCCTGGCTGTCGCTTGCTATGAAGGCCGTTGATGCGACGTTGGTGGTGGCGAGGAGCAAACAGCCGGGTAGTCCGGTTGCAGGGACACCGTGGACATGTTATCGCCGGCAGCCTTTTGGCTGTTGCTCGACGAGGTGGAGTGGCAGATATTGATGGAGCAACTGATGCGCAAGGTGGGTGGGACGGCGTTGGAAGGGCCGGAGTATGGTTGGAAGTGTGCGGCGGGCGGTCGGCGCGGCCACCCCATGTGCCGGTCGGCGGTAGCCAGGGATTCGCTGGAGTGCGCAAAAGAGAGCACGGCGATGGAAGGGCCGCCTTTGGCAAAGCTGGGGTAGCAGGTCGCACGTGGAGACCAGCCGAGGGCCGGGACGGTGGACGCACATAGGGAGGGTAAATGGGGGATTACAAAGGGGTAGTAGTATTGCATCGCCTCGGTACCATAGGCAAGCATTATAAGGAAGAAACGCCACGGCCATGAGTAGTGATCGTTAAGCTTCCTCGGAAAAAATAGTGTACGCCAAGAAGCGAGATTATCAAAGTGAAGTGCTCCGGGCCAAAACTTTCTAGCTTGTTGCCAATCCACGCTAGTCGACGTCGAGAGGCAGTAGCATGGCGGACAGTCCTGCGGGAAGCTAGGCAGGCGGCCGCTCACCGTGGAGCCTGTTCGTTGTCAGTCGAGGATGGAGAAGAGGGTAGGAACGGGAGTGCCTGTTTCGGGGTGCGGAGATGATACAGGGCAACTCCCGAGAAGGGCACGGAGCACGGGAGACAAGGTTGGGGCGGTTCGGAGATACAGATCAGTGGCGAATGAAGCATTAACGTTCCGGCTGATTCAGCCTAAGCAGTCTGCGGTCGAAGAAACCGCATGGAGAAAGCATGCAGAGGCGATCGCAAAGTCACTGCCGAGAAGACCGCCGCGAGGCGGTTTTGCGTCAAGCAGAGCACGGAAGTCCCGTAATTTGGTCAGG